GCCACAATATTTATATTTTATCTGAAAATCGCATTACCCAAAAACTCTTCCCCTCCCCCCTTCCTGTACCATTTGATTTAAAAGGAGGTAAAGTAAGTTTTTAAGCTTATTAACTGCTTTCTCCTGGTTTTATTTATTCCCTGAGCATCCTAGGACTTGTTTTTAGGCTTGTAATTCTTAGGGGAATTGCCTCAGGAAAGAAGTCATTTTCTTTGCATTGGGCTCTGAATTAGACAAAATATGGATTTAGATAAGTGTTTGAAGCCTCCCGGTTTCTCTTTCTCAGAAGGGGCATTGAGATACCCCTGTAAGCGGCAGACCTTGTAGTGCTCGCCTAAAGCTCTGTACTACAGCATTATAGAGCCATTCCTCCTAGAATGTGCAAAGACAGATATTCTATTCCATCATGTTTTCCAGTATATATGAACTGACACACAGAGCCAGCCACTGTTGGACACGTTACTTTACCCATGATAATTTAATACTTTAAAAATTGTGTTATCTCAGTTTGTTGTTATGATCTGGAGAGGTCTCCTTTTTTTCTCCAAATTTAAAAACTTTATTTTCAGTACAAGTTAAACTTTTTAAGTTACAGTTCAGTGGATTTTAGTATATTCACACAGTTGTATAACCATCAACCACAATCAATTTTAGAACATTTTCTTCACTCCAGAAAGAAACCCCATACCTATTAGCAATCACTCCCCCTTTCCTCTTTTATCTTTTTAAAACATTTTTTTTAATTGATTTCACGGAGAAAGGGAGAGGGAGAGAGAGAAACACCAATGATGAGAGAGAATCATTGATCAGCTACCTCCTGCACTCCCCTTACTGGGGATTGAGCCTGCAACCCAGGCATGTGCCCTTGACTGGCTGATGCTCTATCCTCTGAGCCAAACCGGCTAGGGCCTCCTTTCCTCTTATCCCAGACCCTAAGCAAGCACTAGTCTACTTTCTGTCTTTATAGATTTGCCTATTCTGGAAGTTTCATGTAAATGGAACCATATAATACAGCGGTTCTCAACCTGTGGGTCGCGACCCCTTTGGGGTCGAACGACCCTTTCACAAGGATCGCCTAAGACCATCGGAAAACACATATATAATTACATATTGTTTTGTGATTAATCACTATGCTTTAATTATGTTCAATTTGTAACAATGAAAATATATCCTGCATATCAGATATTTACATTACAATTCATAACAGTAGCAAAATTAGTTATGAAGTGGCAACGAAAATAACTTTATGGTTGGGGGTCACCACAACATGAGGAACTGTATTAAAGGGTCGCGGCATTAGGAAGGTTGAGAAGCACTCACTGGTCTAGATCAGACTCCTCCTCTCCAGGAGAGTATAAAAGTCCCGGAGGCCCTCTGGTCTAGGGGGAGTGTCTTCCCTCCACACTCCCTGGAACAGGATCACTGCCCCACCCCTGTGGCCAGCAGGCGTTGTCTGCACGCATTTAGTCTGGCTATCCCCTCCTGTAGCTGCTTGGCCAGCGAGCAGAACACAGCCCGGGGCCATAGCTCAGCAAGAATTAAATCTTTATGTGAAGGCTTCTCTCGCTGCAGCTGCGCTCCATAGCCTGCGTGGTGGCCCAGGTGGCCACACTGCCAGCTTCACCTCCCCTCACCGGCTCCGGAGGCTTAGCCTCTCAAGCTGCACCACTCCGTGCATCTCCTTGGGGCCCCTGCAGCCCGGTTGGAGGAAATATAACCTCTGTTGGGCAGATGGAGCACTTACCCCTAAATCCTGTTCCTGATGCCAAGTGTCAGGAGCATTCGCTCCTGAGTCCACACATACTCCTGAATCTTGCTGCAGCGAGTGGAGAAACTTACTCCCCAACAATACTTTATTATTTTTTAATATATTTTATTGATTACAGAGGAAGGGAGAGGGTTACAGAGTTAGAAACATTGATCAGCTGCCTCCTGCACACCTCCCCAACAATACTTTATTATTTTTTAATATATTTTATTGATTACAGAGAGGAAGGGAGAGGGTTACAGAGTTAGAAACATTGATCAGCTGCCTCCTGCACCTCCTACTGGGGATGTGCCTGCAACCGAGGTACATGCCCTTGACTGGAATCGAACCTGGGACCCTTCAGTCCGCAGGCCCACGTTCTATCCAATGAGCCAAACCGTTAGGGCCCCAAGAGTACTTTAAAAGAAAAAAAAAAAAAGAGCTGCCCAGCCAGTGTGGCTCAGTGGTTGAGCATTGACCTATGAACCAAGAGGTCACCATTATTCCTGGTCAGGGCATATACTCCAGTTGTGGGCTTGATCCGCAGTGTGGGGCATGCAGGAGGCAGCCGATCAGTGATTTCTCTCTTAATATTGATGTTTCTCTCTCTCTCTCCCTCTCTCCCTTCCTCTCTGAAATCAATATAAATATATTTAAACAAATAAAAATAAAAAAATTTTAAAAAGAGTTCCTGTCAGGAAACCACAATGCTCCTGGTGATTGCTCTTGTCACTCTTGACCCATTGCAAAGCATCCACAGTTGTATGATTGTTATACACAAGGTCTTAACCAATCTCACAATAAACCATTCTTTGGTTGTTGTTTTTTCTTTAGATTTTTATTTCAGAGAGGAAGAGAGAGGGAGAAAAATAGAAGCATCAATGATGAGAGAGGATCACTGATCGGCTGCCTCCTGCATGCCCCCCTACCAGGAATGGAGCCCGCAACCTGGACATGTGCCCCCAACCAGAATCGAACCTGGGACCCTTGGGTCCGCAGGCCGGTGCTCCATCTACTGAGCCAAACCGGCGCTAGGCCATTCTTTGGTATTTTACAAAGATGTCATTCTTGGCTTCTAAACTGAAAATCATTTGTGCCCAAGCCATCATTTTCCATTTATACATCCTGTTTAATTAGAAAGTAGTTTCTAGAGTGTCCCATTTTTTAAAAATATATTTTTATTGATTTCAGAGAGGAAGAGAGCGGGAGAGATAGAAGCATCAATGATGAGAGAGAATCATTGATTGGCTGCCTCCTACATGTCTCCTACTAGGGATCGAACCCACAACTGGAATCGAACTCCGGACCCTTCAGTCCACAGGCCAACACTCTATCCACTGAGCCAAACCAGCTAGGGCAAGTGTCCAATTTTTTAAATCTAATTTGAAGTGGCAGATGGCAGACGTACACATGACCTAGATGTCTCAAGCCTTTTTGCTTACTCATATACACAGGTCCTTTGGTAAAGCCAGCTGCTGGTGTTGGAGGCAAGCAGACTCCTGGGGAACCCAGGCCTCATTTGTTTCATTGCTGCCACCTGCTGGGGCCTGGACTCTGGAATGTGAAGGCTGCTCAGGTGGTGGAACTAAGCCTGTCCAGATCCAGATAAGGAACCCATTTGTTGTTCCAGTGCTAATCAGCTATTGTTTCTAGGTGACAGCCTGCCCCTAAATGAAAGGACTTTATAAACTGTAGAGCATGATACCTGGGAAGGGTGGTGTGTTAGATTATGTTGGTTGATGCAGTGGTGGGGATCTAGAGAACACTTCAGGGACTCAAACATCCTGGAGAATTAAGAGTTGTGAGAGTCCTTAAAGCAGATGCTGTGGAACAACTTAAATCAGAGTCTCTTAGAGGCTTTTGAAAATGCAGATTCCAGGACCTGACCCCAGAGATTTTGATTCACTAGGCCCAAAATTGGGTTTATTTAACAGGCTTCCCGTGAGGTTCTGATACAGGTAGTCTAGTACCACACTCGAGAAGGACACTGCCTTAAACATTATCTAGGCAATATCACCTTTTTTCTAATTAGTGCCTCATTTCAATAAATTTTAAAAAAGTATTACATCTTTCATCAATGGGATGAGTCACTGTAATACTATAACTTGTTCTTTGAAGCATACACACAAAAGTTATTGTTGGATTGGTTTGTTCTGTAGCAAAAAAAAAATCACTGTCAAATAATTGACTTTTCTCCTTCTAGAAAGAGATACAGTACTATAATTTATGCTGGTCAGTTTATAGTGGGATACTTTCTGGCCTTGGGCATTGGCAAGCAGAGGTGGGATTTAGTATTACATTTATCATAGCTATCATTTCCATGAATCATTTAGTTAATATCTATTGAATTTATGCAGGATGCCCTACATTATCACTTACCTCTTTTCTCTCAGAGGAGCCAAGCACAGGAAAGCTGCCACCCCCAAGGTTTTTCCCATGTCTTATTATCACTTCTTTTTTTTTTCCTTTTTTTTTTTTTTTTTTTTGAATTTATTGGGTTGACACTGGTTAACAAAATTGTTCAGGTTTCAAGTGCATAATTCTATAATATATCATCTCTACACTATATTATATGTTCACCACCCCAAGTCAAGCCTCTGTCCATCCTCATTAATCCCTTCCTATACCCTTCTCCACCTCTCTCAACCCCCCCACCCCCCACCTCCCAGGCAATCACCAAACTTACACTTCCTGTCCCTCACCCTATCTTGACAAGCTTGGCCAAGATACAAGAGTATACAAATAATGACTTTCTTTATTACACAGGAAAAACAAGTGTCCTGATAGCTAGTTTGAAAACTCACCTTAGAACTGAGAATTCTAGATGCCTCTCATGTGCTTGCCTCATAGAATATTATTGTTCCAAAATATTTGTCACTTTTTACGTATGTTTCTGAAATGACTGGTTTAAGAATAACCCTCTCTAACTGAACTGAATGAGGCTGCTGAACTCAGGGGCAGATCACACTTGGTATACAGGGTCATCTTAATAAACATTGGGCACCTGTAATTTTCTAGTGTAATTTCATCTAGACTTTTTTAGTTCTCAGGTTGTTGGCACTTAGCTCTTCCAACCCCTTTAATGCAGATGATCGTATGTTGAATACAGTTATCATGTATTGCATGTGTAGAATCAAAAGGTAGTTTATTGAACCTCTTTATAAAGAAATCTTATTGTACTTTCAGGATCATATTTTTTTATTACTCAAATGTGGTTATCTCTAGGTTTTTTGTTGTGTTTTTTCTTTTTCAGGTGTACCTGAAGGAAATCTTAAAAGAAATTGGTATTCAGAATGTAAAAGGGATCCACAAAAACACATGGGAGCTGAAGCCAGAGTATAGACATTATCAAGGAGAAGAAAAGAGTGATTAAGAAGACTCCAAGCCAGCATTCAAACAGAACAACTAAGGGTGATGTGTTAAGCATACGGCATTGATACTTGAACTTGAGCACCATGTATTATAGGGGCAAAATGACTGAAACTTTAATTTCTCTAGGTAAATTTCTTAAACAATAATTCTTGAAAAATTACTGAAGTGGTTTTTTTTGTGTTTTTTTTTTTTTTTTTTTTTTTGAGGAGAAATAACAAACTTATTTATAGACTTAACTTGTATTAAACTAGATTATTCCTGATGGGGTTAGGAGTTGGGGTTAAGAGGTTCTGTAATTAAAGCAAATCAAGGAGATAACTATCCATTGAGATAAATATTTTTCTGTATTATTCGTTTTCTTAACAGAACACTAGAATGCTGAGATTGAGTACCACTGTACTAGGAAAATTTTTATCCTTGCATCCCCTTTGTAAAGTAAAATTCTGATTAAGGAAAACGGTCTTATTTCCTACCCTGCCTCCAGTTGTCTTATCCTGCATTGTTCTAGTGCAGGAACCAAATCTTGTTTCACCATTGCCCTCCAGTTCCTAATTATTTGAGGCTGAGTGTCAAGAAGCAGATAGATAATGGTGTGATAAATCTGTATACAACTGATAATTCTGGATGCCTGTCATGCTTGTTTTGTAGCACATATCTCCCCCCAAATCCTGTCTTTTTATGTGTAGACTGCCCTGAAACACCTGGGTCGTCTACCCCTGCCTTTTGTTTTTGTGGTGACAGTGTCTGCCAGATGCAGTGTTCCCAGCAGAGCTGTATGTCATTTGAAGTTATGCTTTGGTATTTCTTCAGACCTGGTTTTTTCAGCTTACTTGTAGTTACCTTTTACCTCATCACACTATCTGCTTGAGTTTTTTAAGCACTTGTTACCTTTTCTATAGGATAGCTAATCTATGTGGTAGACTGGTGTCATTCCTGATTAATTTTTTGGAATTGCTTTCTCATTCAATACTAAAATATGGCTGTTGGTCATGGAAGAGACTCCCTTCGACCTGGGTTTCCACGTTCTTTTATTTCAGGACTCTCTAGCTCTGATAAACATGCTTTTGACCAGTGTGAGATTGAGAGGAAGGCTGATATACATCTGGCAAGATGTCACATCGTGAGGGCAGGAAGGCCATATTTAATAGATGAGATTGTTAAACTCAGCCAGTACATGGGATGTTTTAATCCTACCAGACCTGAGGCCCTGAACCTAACTGTCCCCTATACCTGGGCTCCTGAACATTAAAGAGAAAAAACCAACATGATATAGAAAAATGTTAGTTACATGCAAACAAGTGGTTAGAATAAGGTGGAACATGGAGACATGGTAGAAAATAGGTCTACCTTTCATCTACCTTTCATCTAGCGCCAATATTCCACCTTTGTGTGAAAATTACCGAAAAATCGGTATAGCGGTCTGGTAGGGTTAATTGTCAAAATGTATGTAATAAGATTATGGTTGCTGGGCAATGGCAAGATTTGAAATTACATGTTGCCACAGTAACTTCTAAAGAGATAAATCTTGCCCTAACTGGTTTGGCTCAGTGGATAGAGCGTCGGCCTGCAGACTCAAGGGTCCCAGGTTCGATTCCGGTCAAGGGCATGTACCTTGGTTGCGGGCACATACCCATTAAGGAATGTGCAGGAGCTAGCTGATCGATATTTCTCTCTCATCGATGTTTCTAACTCTCTATCCCTCTCCCTTCCTCCCTGTAAAAAATCAATAAAATATATTTTTTTAAAAATAAAATAAAATAGATAAATCTTAAAAAATAAAAAAAATGGTTTGCTCTATTGTATCATAAGCAGGCCGTGTGGATTTCAGCAGAGTTGCAATTGTTCCTAATGGTCTGTGAACAAATTTTCTTTGAAGCATATTTTGTTCATTGTTGATACATATCAGTGAAATGAGAGGAAACATTTTTCAGGTCCTTATGTGCCTGATAGTGTGTTAAATGCTCTAAAATATCTCATTGAATCCTTAGAAATAGTGCTGAGAGATAATGTCCATTTTATAGAACCTTTTCCTACCCAGCATACATACCTTCATAAGTACTGAAAGAATCCTGCCCTTGAGGCAAAGCGAGTGCCAGGGTGTACTTTCCCAGAACCCACCCCCGCCCTAACACCCCAGTCTCACCTCCAAACCAGGAAAGTGGTGCAGACCTCAGAGTTGTGAAGGAGAGAGAGTTTGGCATCCCTGCTTGAATTCAGACATCTAAACGTCCCTACCCACCAGATGAAGACTAACCTTCCCTTTTAAAGTCAAGATCCTTTTGCTAAAGTTTTAATTCCTATCATGCTTCAAGTACCCAGGTGGGGTGTGTGACTTTATTAGACACCATAGGACTTACGGAGCCCAGGGGCAGGTGGCAGGGGGGTGGGGCACTGAGCTGAAGGGAACTGCCTTATGTTCAGCCTTCACTTGCTGCAGACATCCTTTTCGTCTCAATACATTGGCCATCTTCCCTCTCATTTGTATAAGAGTCCAAGATAAGCTGCTTCTCTTCTTTTTTTATTAAATATGTTTTTTTATTGATTTCAGAGAGGAAAGGAGAGGGAGAGAGAGATAGAAACATCAGTGATGAGAGAGAACCATCGATCAGCTACCTCCTGCACGCCCCCACTGGGGATCGAGCCCGCAACTCAGGCATGTGCCCCTGACCGGGATCGAACCTGGGACCCTTCAGTCCGCAGGCCAACACTCTATCCACTGAGCCAAAACAGCCAGGGCTGCTTCTCTTCTTTATGGTGTTTTCTTTCTGACATTTGTCCAGAGCAGGTTCCTGAGCCTAATATCATTTTAATGTAATGTGCAAGAGAAAGTATCAGAGATCGCTTTTGAACCTGATTTTCTTCACATATTCCCATTCATTTTTCCTACTTTCCTTTGAGCAGGTGCCACCATCCACAACACAATAGTATGATGTAACATCTGACAGATAAGCAATAAAAGTCTTCAATAGTTTATTATTAAAAAAATCACAGCTTTATCCTGCCAGTGTGGCTCAGTTGGTTGGGTGTTGTCCTTTGCACCACAAGGTTGCAGGTTGGATTCCTGGTCAGGGCACTTGCCTGGGTTGTGGGCTCAATCCTCCGTAGGGGCATGCAGGAGGCAGCTGATCAGTGTTACATTGTCACATAGATCTTTCTCCTTCTACCTTCCTCTCTCTCTCTAAAAAAAAAATCAATAAACTATTCTGTAAAAAAAAATAGAAATGAACAGCTTTTACCTGATATTGTTAGAAATCATCTAAACTTTTTAGTTGCTTTAGCTTACAGTTTAGAGTAGATTTTGTAAAGTCACTTAGTCTTAAATTTTAGGGTTTTAAAGAATGATTTTCCTAAAATATATCATATTTTTAAATGTTGAAATTTGTATTTATAAGATCTTAAAAACATACAAGTTTTTTATTGTTTTGTGGAAATGTAAGTACACCAAAAGCATATGTTGCTGGACCAAAAACTTTAATCTGGCATGGTCCTGGAACATGATGGCTGTTAATTAGGCAATTATTTATTGGCCATGAATATATTCCAGACACAGTGGATATAAAAGTATTACGCATAAGAGGTGTTCACAGTAGTGAGAACTACAAAAGGTAGACAGGGAACAATACGTGAGGGTAATAAAGTATGAACTAAGTGTTGCAATCAATCAAAATATTCCAGTTAATTCATCATGGCCATTTAGACTCTACATGGATTTCCAAATTTTAAAGCATTTGAATATAGTAATATATACTTAATTTTAAATCTTGCTTGAATAATTTATCAATAATTATTCATTGATAATTTATAAGCACAAAAGGATTTATATAATGTCTAGGAATCATTATTATGAATTTATATAGTGGCTGTCTTTAATACATTGGTCTCATTAATAGAATGCCAAATTTTGAGTTTATTGTGCTTGTCCTCTTGACATTGAAGCCTTACTTCTGATTGCCATTCTAGTTTCTCTCCTTGAATAAAAGCCTATGAAACACTTTGGCCATTCATTCGTCTAGTGGAAATCCACTGAAATGCCCACTGTGTGCCAGGCAGTAGGGGTCATGGTGATGGGTGCTTGTGGTAATGTGCCTTATGTGCTACCAGTTTTTTGCCTACTTTACTAAGTAAGCAGGAAGAGTAATAGCCTGTGTTTGTTGGACCCTTGCTATGTGCCAGGCACTGCTAAGTGTTTGAGTCATATGACTCAGTTAATCCTCATGGCAACCCTGCAACATAGGTTTTCTTATTACCCTTGTTTTATAGAGGTCCCGGTACTAAGAGGTTAAAGAACCAAGGTCATACAGTGGTCAGGGTCAGAGCCAGATTCAGATCCCAGAACAGCACTCCGGAGTGCAGGCCTTTCATTGCCTTAGTATATTATAGGTCATGGGTGCTATCTGCTGATTTCCCACAGCTGTAGTTTACCTGTCCAGAGCCTATCATGTTTGAATTTGTTATTGTTGTTTTAGTTATTATTATTGAGATATAATTTACATATCTCTTTTACATTTGACTTCTCCTCACTAACTAATAGGTAGCAGAATCTCATGAGTTATTGCTCCTGAAACAAAAAGAGTTGAGCCCTAGCCGGTTTGGCTCAGTGGATAGAGCAGCCTGTGGACTAAAGGGTCCCCAGTTTGATTCCAGTCAAAGGCACATGCCTGGGTTGATGGCGCGTGGGAAGAAGTCAATCAATGATTCTCACTCATCATTGATGTTTCTATCTTCTCTTTCTCTTCCTTCCTCTCTAAAATCAATAAAAATATATATTTTTTAAAAAAGAGTTGATTCTGGATACTAATTGAATTGTTTTGACTTTAGAGATTTCGTTTCTAATTCTTTTTCAAGTTCTGGAGTTTCTTACTTGTGGAATGATGTTTCTTTTTTCCCCCCTCTAGATTCAGATGAGCTGTTTTCCAAAAATGATTGCAAATGGCCAATGTGCTTTATTTACTTACATCCTAGGCCACCCAGGGAATGTTCAGGCCCAGGCTTATGAGAAAGTTTCTGACTGGGCTGGTCACAGTTGAGGGTATCCGCCATGGCTGAGTGAGCACTCAGGACATCCATTAGCTTGGGACTGCCAAGTGTGGGAACATAGATCTGAACAAATAAAACGGTCTTTTTGCTTTCAGGAACTCCCAGCATTGAAAAGGACTTTGAAACAAATAAATGGCAGCCTAGTGTATTAAGTGCAGCAATAGAAATACCTGGATTGAAAGCCTATGACTTAGAGCAAGTTGTTTACCATCTGTTCCTTAATTTCCTCATCTGCAACATGGGAATATTAAGAGTATCTATCACCCGGCTGGTGTGGCTCAGTTGAGTGTCATCCCATGTACCAAGAGGTTGCTGGTTTGATTCCCAGTCAGGACACATGCCTGGATTGCAGGCTCATCCCCAGGGAAGGGGGAGCGTGCAGTAGACACCCGAGCAATGTTTTTCTCTCATCGATGTTTCTATTTCTCTCCCTTCCTCTCTCTCTAAAAATCAACAAAAATGTGTTAAAAAAAAAAAAAAAAAAGAGTATCTAGCCCTAGCTGGTTTGGCTCAGTGGATAGAGCATCAGTCTGCAGACTGAAGGGTCCCGGGTTTGATTCACGTCAAGGGCACATGCCCAGTTGCAGCTCAATCCCCAGTAGTGGGTGTGCAGGAGGTAGCCAATCAATGATTCTCTCATCATTGATGTTTCTAGCTCACTCTCCCTCTCCCTTCCTCTCTGAAATCAATAAAAATAGATCATTGGGTGGGGGGACGACATATGTACTACTATCTGTAATACTTTAAACAATAAAATAAAATTTAAAAAAAGAAGAAAACTATAAAAATATATATATTTTTTTTAAAGTACCTATCTCATAGAATTATAGTGAAAATTAAGTAAGTCAATATAGGTAAAGCTCTTAAAACACCATGACACATAGAAACTACTTTATCAGTATTAGCTTTAACATATACAAAAAACATGTAAAATATGGAACTAGCACAGAGAGTGAAATGATTAATTACATCTTTGGGGAATCAGGAAAGCCTTAGAGGAGTTAGTATCTGAAGTGGGTTTTGAAGGGGTCTAGGAGTTCACTAACTGTCAAGAGGCAGGAAATACAGAAAGAACAAGTGCAAGGGCATTAAGGGAGCAGCCTTACTTCACAGGGTAGTTGGAGTGACAGTCCACACACACCTTCGGTATACAATTGATCCCCTATTTGCAACATGTTTTTTCACTTCCAGTGATACATAATGCTCCATGTCTACCCCATTGGGTGTGAGGGTTAGGGAATACTTTAAGTCCTGCCATCAAGGAGGAACCTTTCTCTAGAGAAAATGTAAGCCAAGAGGATAGACCGCACTCCATCAGATGTTTCCTGAATTTCACCCTGCTGCATCCTCAGCGCCACCGTAGGTGCTGGGGTCGGGAAGCCAGGGGCACCAAGTGAGACTTGGTCCTCATCTTGCATTACACTGCCCAGGTGTCTACAGATTGCTCCTGTCAGAACCAAGTGAGAAGCTGGTCAGGGCCTGTTTACATTGTTAGAGGGCTGCCCTTTTGCCTTGAGAAATTCTAGGATTAACAGGTAGATTCCATCTCCAAAAGGGAAGAGATGTGTATAGAGATGGAGGCCTTGAATTGTATCCACCAGGAGAAGTCCACAAAGCCAAAAATGAAGTGAGTCATACTCCCACAATAAATGTGGGAGATGAATATCACTTCTTTGATTTGCTAAATGCTTGAGAAAGAAATTTTGAATAATTATTTCCTACAGTAGTAGAGAGGTAAGAGATCTTCTGTTTTCAAAGCAGAGAAAACCAAGGCAAGTTCCTGACCCTGTCACAATGGAACTGTTGGAAAAGCTGAAGCTAAAACTCAAGTCAGCTTGAGCCGAAGCTTTTCTAGTGTTGATAGCCCAGCAGCATGCACTTTCTCAGGTCTCCTGCCTTATCTCCATGGATCCAGGATCTGAGAGGAGAGCAAGTGGGCCAGCCTCACAGTGAACCAGGCAGATGGGCCTGTTCAGTTGCAGCTTCTGGAGCTAGTGAGTACTTATTACTCACCCAGCTTTATGTCCTCTTAGAAAATAAAACCCTTAATCACCTTCAGACAGCATTGGCAGGTGAAGCCTTAAAAATGTCAAACAGTCAGCTCGGAAATCACATTTTGTTAACCACCCACACAGAGATTCATCTGAAAGTCTACAGACCTCAGCCTGCAAGCTTAGTGTATTGCAATGAAAACACCTCTGCTTTGTGGATGTCTCAAGGAGCATGCAGTTGAAAATGGATACCAAGGAATCGACTGGGAGAAGACAAGAGAAAAACAAGATTATTTTAAGTAACTTTTTTTTAAGCACTTTTCATTTGGGCCCAATTGGTTGATTTCCTCATAGAAAAAATAAGAGTATGTCGATCAAAGCTAGAGCATCACATGTGCTAGAAAAGACAAGTGAAGAAGCCAGGAAGTTGGAACTAGGGTTCACATTCGCCATCGTGTCTAATACTTACTGTATTTTTGCCAGGTTTTTTAGTCAGTTGCTGTCACCAGTAATCTGGGATGGAGAAACTTGTGTTTTAGGGGAAGTGGCTGGAGAGGGGCTGATTAGCAGAAAAGGGTATCAGTACTTGTTGAGAGATTGGTGATGATCTTTAATGTCCTTCTGGTTTTAAGATTCTGTCATTTGCCCTGGCCGGTGTGGCTCAGTTGGTTGAGCATCATCCCATGCACCAAGAGGTCACTGGTTCGATTCCCAATCAGGGCACATGCCCGGGTTGCAGACTCAATCCCCAGTAAGGGGTGTGCAGGAGGCAGCCGATTGATGTTTCTCTTTCATTGATGTTTCTCCCTCCCTCTCTCTAAAATCAATAAAAATGTATTTAAAATTTTTTTTTAAGATTCTGTAATTCTAAACCGTGGACCTGGCCAAACTTGCCTGTCAGTCTTGCCCATCCCACACTGGAAAGGGGTTTGTTTCATTATTCTCACTAGGGGCTTCTACTCGTGGCATAGGCCCAGCTGCAACTCACGCTGACTCATACACATCAACATCCTGCTGTTGACAGGATGGCAGGCACTAGACAGGCGTGTGTGTTCCAGAAAAAAACATTCACTACTTGACTTCGTAACATCACCTGCCCCCTGCTGCTAGTCCTCCTGCTTCCACACACTCTTGCATGCACCCTGAAGTATTTGTCTATCACCATTCTTTACTCCATCCTACTCAGGGTTCTCAGTTGTAAGAGGGAGAAATCCACTCAAGTTGACTCAGAGATAGGAAGGACAGCCCTCCCAGGGACTGGCCCTTCCCTGCCTCTCTCAGGGGCTGCTTGCTCTTTGTCATTGGCCTGCCTCTCTTCAGCTACTTTCTACTGTTCTCTGCAGTTTGGCTTCCTGGTTCCACACAGTTCATGTTCCCCCATAACTTCAGCATGCACTTTGCTTTGTCTTGACACGGCGCCAGCTCTGGCCTCAATTTTATATCACTTTTCAGCTCAGCTTCCCACAGCTGGCTAACTCTAACTCTAGATCCCAGCTCTGGATTTCCCAAAAGAATCTGATTGCTGCCTTAGGGCAGATGTCCACCCCTAATCTGATCAGTGAAGAGAAGCATGTATGGCCACAGAGGCCCCCTCCAGTGGTGGCTATGGCTGTAGGGGGCAGGAGTGGTTCCCAAGGAAGGGCTTATGTCTGGGAGCACTCCAGAAAGTGACCGCAGTACCCTCCAACTGAGCCAGTTATTCCCAGATGTGCAATACAAGTATTCTGAAGTCACATTTTGGTAACCATCAGGCCATCATTCCATTGTATTCCTCTCTAGTTAAGAAACCTACAACTAAAGAGATAGTAAGAGTACTAGGGGAAAGGTTCACCATTGAATTTAAGGAAATGGTGAAAACACTGAGGAAAAAGCCCTCCAGTGATTCCCATGTAGTGGTAGAAGAACAGAGTGCTCAACCAATAGAAGAAAAAAGGATCGTGTTTATATACAAGTTCAGCATATAAAGGGCTAATGCACTGGGTGCATAATAAGATGCAAGAGACTAAATTGCAGTAAAAGCAAGTTAACCTACCATTATACACATACGATTAGCAGCAATTTAAAAGTATTTGATCCCCAGTTCTAAAAAGGTTGAAATAATGTGTTAATTTACACACTGCTATGTGCACTGAAAAAGCACTTTGAGCATCTTGGAGAACTTACAGTGATTTCTATCCCTATTCTACAGACACAAAAACACAGGTACAGAAAAGGTAAACCATTAACATTGCTGCCTGCTAGTGACAGAACTGGGCTAGTGCATATACACTCCCAGCCAGGGCCCTCTCCAGCCTCAGGGTTCTCAGCCTGTCTGATTATCGGAACCATATGGGTTGGGTGGTAAAATGGAGACTCTAGGCACTACCTGAAGGCACTAAACATCCCTTGAGAGGAGGCCCTACTTCTATCCTAATATATAAAGAGCCAGGGTCCGTCACGACCAAAACAACTGGACGGACGACCGAACAGTGGGCCCCAGGCCGCTGGGGCGTGGCAGCGAGAAGGGTCTGTGCGCCCCAGGCCACTGGGGCATGGCGGCAGAAGGGATCTGTGCACTCCGGGCCACTGGGGTGTGGCAGCGAGAAGGGTCCGCGGGCCCGGGCCACTGCAGCACTGCGGAACTCTGGGTCTCGTGCAATTGGGGGCGTGGCCGCCTTCAAACCAGACCCTGACAGGAGGGAGGAGGGAGCCCCATTCCTCGCGGAATCGGCCATTGATCAGCTTGCTGTCAGTGGCCTGCCAACCAGGAATCCCATTGCCCTGCACCCCGGACCCTAAAATATTTCCTCAATTAATTCCCTTTGAACGTGCACGAATTTTGTGCACCGGGCCACTAGTATTTTTATAAAGCTCCACAGTTCTGATGATCAGCCAGGTCTGGAAACAATTGCATTCACCAACATTTTCAACCAGAAACTAATAAAGGGTGGACGTGTTTTCCTGGCCATGAACAGCCTGAAAAGTATCAGGCTTTTCTGGAAAACACAGTGGTATCTTCCTTTTACACATCACACTCCATAGCCTGCACTGAGAACTCGGAATGAATCCACGCTGACACTGTGACCTGGACCCCTTGTGAGAAGCCCCTGCCCTCATCTGAAGCCCAACAATGTGAGTACTTATCCCCAGCAGGGACTGGGGGTGTGCTGTGGGAAGAGTGTAAAGTGGCTCAGCGCCTGCCACATAATATGTTTAATAAGTGTTTATTGTTAACTCTCTTTCTGGAGCTACTGTCACTGATGATAAGATAACTTGAATTTCACATCTTTTATTTCTGGCTTTTTCACAGGAAATAGCCAAAAGCTATTAACAGGGATGGAAAAACTCAGGACCTAGGAAAACCAATATTGGCTAATGACAGTTGTTTTTATCAAACAGACCAAATGGTAACTCCAGTTTGGGATAAAACAAAGGTAAATATTGACTGGTCCTAAAGCCCTTGCTAACTGGTTTAGAACCCTGTGTGTTCAGGTGCCCCAAGACCAGATCTCCCCCCCTTCCCCCTTGCCACGCCCACCCACTCCAGGGCCATCAAAGCAGGCAAGAGTTCTGTCCACCCCTGCATAGCCAGCCCTGTACCCCCCCTCCCTCCCCCACATCCTGGTTTTCCTGATTAGGTCCCTCCTTAGGCTGAGTGTCCCAGTGTAAACAGAGGAGGGAGTACTTTTGCCATGAGCATGAAGTTACCCTTGAAAATACCAGTCCTGTCATTTGGGGTTTTAGGTCTCTTGGTTCTTTCTCTTACGAGGTCTACTCCAGTTTCCTTGCCCTTCAAGGTTCAGCTTCTACGTTTGAGAAGATGAGAACACAAAGAATAGATGGAGAAAACACTTTTTCATGGTCACTCCTTGGAAGATAGGCACTTTGAATCATACCTTAAGTCCTGTGCCCTTTGGGGTACTCCAGGCATGTCAAACTCAAAGGCTAATATGGGCCAAATAAACAAGGTTTAAGTTTATGTGGGCCACAAAAAAAAAAGCTTCAATGTTCATAGAAACGAGAGTTTATTTCAATAGAGACATGCTAAATACAAAGGGCTGAAATAAATGAGTAATCGTTAGCATAAAATAATAGAACACTTTAATAAAAATTAATGTTTTTTTCTTGAACATTAACTTACCAGACACTGAATAACTGCACAATTTAATAAGCGTAACGCAAATAAACCTATTTTCTTGTTCTCCAAAAGCAAAATATTTCCTGTTGTGCACACCAAACAAGTCAGTCCAAGACTAATGACGTGGCAATTGGCTGCTAAAATATTCGCTGCTAGTATTAGTGGAGAGAAATGGTGCGCCTGTGTGAAATCAGTCAGCGAACATTGTAGTTCATTATTAATAATTATGTATAACAGAATATTGTAAAAATTAAGTTACAAAATTTTTATTCAAATGTTTCTTACATACCATTATATTGACTGGGCCGAAAAAATATTCATTGTGGTCCGCATACGGCCCATGGGCTTCGAGTTTGACATGCTTGGGGTACAGAGTGGTGAAAATTAGAAGGGCACGTGATGCTCAGAGTTCTTACTGGGTTTTTGCCTTTATTTGCTTTGGTGAGATACACCTCATTGGATAACAGAGGGGGCACATTTTTGTTTTGGTGCAATAGCTTATTTCTTATAACTTAAACCAGCTTGATCTGAGAAGTTGTTCCAGGTCTTTTTTTTTTTTTTTTTTTTTTTTTTAATGATGAATAAATCTTCTTTTGAAAACAACTGTTTGCTGCCTTCCATCCTGAGCTGAAATGAGTGCACAGCTCTGTTATTTACCAAAGTGGAGGCTACACCTACACAGGATCTACTTTTGGGCTTGGAGAGGGTGGTAATGCTGCAGCTCATGAAGACGGACTTGCCAAGTTAATTTAAATTGGTGTGAAGAGCAATTCCATTATGCTGGCTGACAACACACAGACTGACCTCAGAGCTGGAGATGGTCAACAATAGCATTGTACAGTTGAGAGCAAGCTGTGCAATCAGCCTGGGGTGGTTTTTCTAAGCATCTTTTTCAAGGACCTGACAAAGGAAATTTAGAAGCTCCATCAGTCAGACCTGTGGGTGCTTCATTTCGTTGTCCTAGCACCTGGCAGTGTGCCCTCACTTGGTACAGAGAGATGATAATGGATGAAGAAACAACCCATTCCTCCAGAGTGGGAAAGGAAGGAGGAAAGGGGGCGGGGAGATGTGCTGGGCTGAGAAGTTAGCAGTTACCTGGAGGCTTTTGACTATTTGTGTAAAGGGAAGTCGGGGGTCTCAGAATGACTATTTAGCTCAGGCCCATTTCAGGATTAGAAATTAGAAGGGTTTAAAGAAATTAGAGGAAATATTCAAATTAATGATTATTAAAAGCATAACTCCTAACTGCACTACTGTAGCTGATCATGTACAGAGAAGGTGAACCATGCCCACTCAGAAAATTGAGGTCACTCAAAACTTTCTGTGCAGATGAAGGGAGTTGGAATAGCAAGAGCATAAGTTCTGGGCAGGAACACGGGTTCATTTTAGCTGTTTCTCTGCATTTCATTTCTTGCTTATAAAGGATACTACTGAAGTGCCTACCTTATGTTGTTTATTGTAAGAATAAAGCAGTACTTTAATCTGTAAAATAATATGCAAATGTTAATTATTTTATTGGTGTGGGCACTTTGAGTTGCAGATGACAGAAACTCAAACTGGCTTAAGCAAAAAACCATCTGCCTCATGGTCCCTAATATAAGGGATAAAAATGCAATGATGGAGTTTACAGGCCCATGTCTGTACACGCCTTCCACAGTGTTATAATGTATTGAAGGCTTACCGATATGGAACTAAGCCGTGCTCTCCAGAACACCACATTCTGAGACCGATTTAATACAAGTACGGAGCTTACAAAACCTACAGGACTGGTGGTTAGCATGCCCCCTACATTGTCTTTCTCAAATCATGCTTTTAGAGTCCTGTCTTCCTCAGTGGTGTCACCCTGCTAGCAAACATGTTCAAGGGAACAATTGAGAATTCTTGCTTTATTTTAAATTTCCTTCTTCAAAAAATGATGCTCGAGTAACATGCTATAGGAAGATGTGAGAATTGTAAAGTAGTGGCACTATCAGAACTCGTAGGCCCTGGGGAAGAATTTGTGTGATTGGAACTGCTCCCGGAGCTCCGTCAGCTTGGCCTGGCCAGTCAGAAGGGGGATGCAGGAGGGAGTAGGTGAGGGGAGACATATACTGCCATATAAAGGCCACATGTGTATCACTTCCCACTAAATTGTGAACACCTCCTACCAAGTTGGAATTTGTCTTTTTTGGCGGGGAATTTGGAATTAGTGTTGCCCCCTCCATCTAGCACTGTGCTTGGCACACAAGACAAATTTAATAAATACTTGTTAAGTGAATAAAGTGATAAGTAACAAAGTTGAAAACTAAGATGGAAATGGACAAGAAGAGTAGAACAAAGATGTTCTGAAGAAAGCAGTAATCAGAATTAGTATTGCGTATAGGATATGAAGGAGAAGAAAGATCCAAAGTGAAATAATGATAATGGATTATTATTTATTTATTATGAATTAACATAGAAAAGCACTGACAAATTCCATCTGGACTTGATGAGTCTGAGCTGCAATAAGGGCACAAAAGTTCAAGATGCGGAACTAGAGATCTGGAGTCAGTGCCATGGAGGTGACAATTGTATTACAGATGTTTCCCTCCCTCCCGACCCCCCTCCACCCGGTTCCCGCCCCCCACCAGGCCGTCACCACCCTATTGTCTGTGTCTGTAGGTAATGCATATATGCATATAAGTTATTTGGTTAATTTCTTCCTCCCTCTCTACCCCCCTCTGAGATTCCTCAGTCCCATGTTTTTATGCTTCTGGTTCTATTTTCATCAGTTTATTTTGTTCATTAGAGTCCTTGTTTGTTTATTTTGATTTTTAGATTCAATTATTGATAGATAGATATTTATTGCCTTTATTTTTTTATTTTTTTTTAGTTTTATTGCTTAAAGTATTACAAAGAGAATTACATATGTCTCCTTTTTCCCCCTGCCCTTGACAATCCCCTGGCCTCCCCTACCCCCCAGTGTCTTATGTCCATTGGTTATGCTTATATGCATGCATATAAGTCCTTCGGTTGATCTCTTACCCCCACTTCTGCCCCCCTAGCCTCCCCGGCCTTCCCGCTGCAGTTTGACAATCTGTTTGAGGCAGCTCTGCCTCTGTATTTTTTTTTGTTCATAAGTTTATGATGGTCTTTATTACCCATGAATGAGTGAGATCATGTGGTATTTTTCCTTCATTGACTGGCTTATTTCACTTAGCATAATGCTCTCCAGTTCCATCCATGCCATTGCAAATGGTAAGAGTTCGTTCTTTTTTAGAGCAGCATAGTATTCCATCGTGTAGATGTACCACAGTTTTCTAATCCATTCATCCTCTGATGGGCACTTAGGCTGTTTCCAGATCTTAGCTATGGTGAATTGTGCTGCTATGAACACAGGGGTGCATATAGCCTTTCTGATTGGTGTTTCTCGATTCTTGGAATATATTCTTAGAAGTGGGATCACAGGGTCAAGTGGGAGTTCCATTTTTAGTTTTTTGAGGAAACTCCATACTGTTTTCCATAGTGGCTGCACCAGTCTGCATTCCCACCAGCAGTGCACAAGGGTTCCTTTTTCTCCACATCCTCTCCAGCACTTGTCATTTGTTGATTTGTTGATGATAGCCAGTCTGACAGGTGTGAGATGGTACCTCATTGTTGTTTTGATTTGCATCTCTCGGATGATTAGTGACTTTGAGCATGTTTTCATATGTCTCTTGGCTTTCTGAATGTCCTCTTTTAAAAAGTGTCTATTTAGGTCCTTTGCTCATTTTTTGATTGGATTGTTCATCTTCCTTTTGTTAAGTTGTATGAGTTCCCTATAAATTTTGGAGATTAGGCCCTTATCAGATATGACATTGGCAAATATGTTTTCCCACGCAGTGGGCTTTCTCGTTGTTTTGTTGATGGTTTCTTTTGCTGTGCAGAGGCTTTTATTTTGATATAGTCCCATTTGTTCATTTTCTCTTTAGTTTCAAGTGCCCTAGGAGTTGTATCAGTGAAGAAATTGCTTCGGCATATGTCTGAGATTTTGTTGCCTTTGGATTCTTCTAGAATTTTTAGGGTTTCCCGTCGTACATTTAAGTCCTTTATTCATTTTGAGTTTATATTTGTGTATGGTGTAAGTTGGTGGTCTGGTTTTATTTTCTTGCATGTATCTGTCCAATTTTCCCAACACCATTTATTGAAGAGACTATCTTGACTCCATTGTATGTTCTTGCCTCATTTGTCAAATATTAATTGAGCATATTGGTTCGGGCCGTATTGCCTTTATATTGTTCATATTTTTTATCTTTTTTCTTCTTCCTCTTAAAGAATAGCCTTCAGCATTTCATGTAATCCTGATTTGGTGGTGGTGAACTCCTTTAGCTTTTTCTTGTCGGTGAAGCTCTTTATCTGACCTATTCTAAATGAGAGCTTTGCTGGGTAAAGTAATCTTGGTTGTAGGTCCTTGCTTTTCATCATTTTGAATATTTCTTGCCACTCCCCTCTGGCCTGCAAAGTTTCTGTTGAGAATCAGCTGACAGTCGTATGGGCGCTCCCTTGTAGGTAACAAAATGCTTTTCTCATGCTGCTTTTTTTTTTTTTTTTTTTAAATGGGTCCAAGGCCTCTGTCTTGAGACCTGGGAAGCCAGGTTAGGCTTACTATTATTATTATTATTATTATTATTATTATTATTATTATTATTATTACTATTGATTTCAGAGGGGAAGGGAAAGAGAGAGAGATAGAAACATCAATGATGAAAGAGAATCATTGATCGGCTGCCTCCTGCACGCCCCCTACTGGATATTGGGCCCGCAACCCAGGCATGTGCTCTTGACTAGAATTGAACCCAGGACCCTTCAGTCCGCAGGCCAACACTCTCTCCACTCAGCCAAACCAGCCAGGGCTCTTATGCTGTTTTTAAAATTTTCCCTTTGTCCTTAACCCTTGGCATTTTAATTATGATGTGTCTTGGTGTGAGCCTCTTTGGATTCCTCTTGTTTGGGACTCTCTGGGCTCCTGGACTTGTAAGTCTATTTCTTTCACCAGGTAGGGGAAGTTTTCTGTCATTATTTCTTCAAATAGGTTTTCAATATCTTGTTCTGTCTTCTCTTTCTGATATCCCCATAATGCAAATGTGGTTATCCTTGAAGTTGTCCCAGAGGTTCCTTACACAATCTTCATATTTTTGGATTCTTTTTTCTTTTTGCTCTTCTGATTGGGTGTTTTTTGCTTCCTCATATCCAAATTATTGATTTGATTCTCAGAATCCTCTACTATTGATTCTCTGTAAGTTATTTCTGTTAGTGTATGCTTAATTTCTGTCTGGTCCTTTTTCGTATCTTTGAAATTCTCACCAAGATCCTCAAAAGTCTCATTAAGTCCCTTGAAACTCTCATTAAGATCCTTGTGCAACCTTATAACCATTGTTTTAAACTCTACATCTAGTAGTTTGCTTCCATTCCATTTAGTTCTTTTTCTGGAGATCTCTTCTGTTCTTTCATTTGTGACATGTTTCGTTGTCTCTACATTTTGACTGCTTCCCTGTGTTTGTTCCTGTGTATTAGGTAGAGCTGCTATGCCTCCTGGAATTGGTAGAGTGGCCTTGTATATTGAGTGTCCTGTCAGTCTCCCAGGAGCTCAGCCTCCTCAGTCACCTCTTCTGGGCACTCTAGTTGGGCCCCTGTGTGGGCTGTGTGCACAGTCTTATAGTTGAGCCTTGATTGCTGTTGGTGTCACTGGGAGGAATTGACCTCCAGCCCAATTGGCTCTGAGGACCAGCTGCAACAGCGGAAGAGCTGCTGTGCAGGAGACACCCCTATGGAGCAGGACTTGCTTTGGTGCTCATTGAGTCTGCCCCTTGAGTGTGTCACTTGTGGATGCATAGAGTTGTAATCTGGTATGGTCTGTAGCTGTCCACTGGGCGCACTGGCTCTGGGTTCTCCCAAGAGGTGCAAAGTCAGCCACTGTCTTGGAGCTACCGAGAGATCTTCAAATGGGTGCTACTTGTATTTGACTTGGAAGTGTCCAGGCGAGCCCCAGCTGTAAAGAAAGGCAGGCTGGTGCTAGTGCCAGGTTTTGGGCCTCTTATTGATAGGTACACACTGTTATGGGTTGGCTCAGCGAGATAGACCACCAACTCAGAATTTAAATTTAAGAGCCTTTATTAAGCTGGCCAGCTAACCATAGTTACAGCACCCTGCCGGAGCAGAGGCTGAACTGCAGTGCTGACTGCAAGAGTTAGATTTTATTATTAAATTTTGTGGAGGCCCAGAGACAAATGTGTCTTTCAAATTCTGGGCCCCCCAATATGGAGGAAACTCTCTATTTATACTTTTCCCAGTCCTTTGTCTCCCAAATTTGGAATGAGACTTCCAGGCCTTCTGAGAAAGAAGGCCTGCGTGCTGGGAAGGGGCCATGAGACCATATCTCAAGGCCTGGCCTGATCTCAGTACCTTCCTGTCCGTGTGTTTTAGGAACAGATAGCACAGCATGACCCATCTGGCCGAAGTGCCAGATATGCAGCCCAGTACAACACCGGCTACTGCTTGTTTGACACATTTTAGGAAGTCTGAGGCCTGAGCCTGGATAGATCATTCATATGGAAAAACTGTTGCAAACAGCTTGGGTGGGGCTACAAATTGAATGGGGTGGGGTCTCGGGGAATCACCAGGATGGAGCAAACAGTGTGAGCCAGGCTGATGGAAACTCAGATATGGCTGCCAGTCAGCTTTGTGACCAGGGAAGTTCCAGTACAGGAACAATGACCCTTGCGAGCACCCCTGTCTAGGAGAAAGCTGCCCCCAAGTTCCTGCCCCGATGCCAGACAATCCAGTTCCTCCCCGTATGTCCCTGGTTCCCTGATGTTTTCATTTATATATGCAGGAAGCTTGGGCATGGTGGGAACAGAGTGAAAATATCCCCCTACCCACCTCCCTCTTCTGAAATGGCCCCCTGGGATCACTGCCCTGCTTCACATTAACATGACAAAACTCTACACAGTGTTCATGAGCACACTCTTACCCACTTCAGCCCCAGAGCACTCAGGATGGGCTTCTTGGAAGAGCAAAGATTCATCTCCCTTAATTCAGTTTGAGGAATGGGGGCCTGTTGTATTTTCTGGATGAGGGAGCTTTGGGCAGGTTAAAAAATTTTTTAATCTAATCTAGCTGTTGTCCTCGTGCCTAGCAGCTCTGTAGAAGGTTAATCCTTCCCAGGTACCTGCCCTTCTGTCTCTGAACTGAAGGAATCCAGCCAGCAGGCAGTGGACAGCCTAGGGCAGAAGGGCTCAGTTAGGCATCTGTGAGCAGCCATTGGCCATGATCTGACATTAGGCCGGACTCAGAGCCTGGACAAAGCCCCTTTCTCTCTCTCTCCCTTCTCCCTTCCATCATCCTTGTGTTTGTATCTGTGTCCTCAGAGCTTTTTCTTTCCCTGTCTGTCCCCGTTTTCTACTTCTCCTCTGTTCCTGTGTCTCCCCCACCTCCAGCCCTCACCTTTGCACAGGTCCCTGACCCCTCCCCCAGCATCAGGCTAGTCCCTATGCTCAGCTGCATGGAGAAACTTCCCACCTAGAAGCTCCCCTGATAGGGATTTACCAGGATATAATTTTTTAAAATATATTTTTATTGATTTCAGAGAGGAAGGGGGAGAGAAAGATAGAAACATCAGTGATGAGAGAGAATCGTTGATCGGCTGCCTCCTGCACACCCCACACTAGGGGTTGAGCCTGCAACCCGGGCATGTGCCCTAACTGGGAATTGAACCGTGACCTCCTAGTACATAGGTCAGTGCTCAACCACAGAACCATGTCAGCCAGGCCAGAATTTAATTTGTTTAATTTTTTTTTCCTTTTAATCCTCACCTGAGGATATGTCTTTCAATAATTTTAGAGAGAGGAAGGGAGAGAGAGGAGGGGAGGGGAGGGGAGGGGAGGGGAAGGGAGGGGAGGGGAGACCAAACCTGCAACCTAGGTAGTTATGTGCCCTGATTGGGAATTGTACCCGCCACCTTTCGGTGTACGAGGCCACATTCTAACCAACTGAGCCACACCAGCCAGGGCAGTTTGTTTAATTTTTAATTTGATTCTCCACTCCTGCCAATCAAGGGTGCATGTCCTTTGTAGAAAATTGGGAAAATATAAAAAAGTATGACAGGCAGAAAAGATCATCCATGGGATAAGTAGTTAAGTCTTTTCATAGATTAGCATCTGGTATCTGTTTGATTCTGAGCTCTGCTGCTTACTACATCCATGTGATCCAAGACCAGTTACCTACCTTCTCTGCTCTTGTCTGAGGATAAAATGAGCAAATACTTCTAGAACATAGTAGGACTTATGAAATGATAGACATTAGTCTCAATTATGTGATAACCATTATGATTGGGAGTTGTGACTGTTACTGTCAGCCCAGCACCCCACTGGAAGTCCTCTCCGGGCCGACAACACAGGAACTGCTCCCGCTGAGCTGCAGGTGTTGGTAATGATGCTCTGGGTTTGAACAAGCTCCCAGTGGAAGGTGGACAGGTATGGTTGGGTCCCCAAGTACTGTTGGTCAACCTCAGGACATACTGATCCTGGAATCCGTTTCCATCTCCTCATTCTCACTAATCGCTATGTATCACTGCCCGTCTCTGCCAATTCTTTCTGGTTCGCCCTTCAGTCCCCGCCTCTGGCCTTCCCCCTCCCTGGTTTTTTTTCTTCACGTTGTTGTTTTTTATTATTGATTTGAGAGAGAGAGAGAGAGAGAGAGAGAGAGAAGCATCAGCGTGAGAGAGAAACATCAATCAGTTGCACCCTGGTATGCACCCTGATCAGGGTAGGAACCAGCAACCTGGGCATATGCCCTGACCAGGAATCCAGCCAGCAACCTTTTAGTGCACAGGATGACCAACTGAGCCACTCTGGCCAAGGCCCTCCCTGGTCTTTTAACTTTACTTTGTTGCTTCTGTGGCTCCCTGTTGCTTCTCTTGACTCTTGCTCCCCCAAAAAAGCTAATGACGAAAGTGAGAGGCCTCATACATTTTATCTTACTAGTATTTTTCATTATAAAAATACGTGGTGCAGTCTGTATATACATAGTGTCCCAAAAACATGTACACACACTTTAACAGCTGATAGCTCAATTGATGTTTCTTTCTTTTCAACCAGACTAATCTTTGAACAAAGGAAATTCATCCCAAAATGCTGCTGGAAGTTTGAAAACACAGTTGAAGTACAAACACTGCCTTTATAATTATTCAAACTGTGCCTTTAAAGTGTCCCATAAAAATGTATACACACTTTGAATAATTAAAATAATAGCTGATAATTTACTTAATTTTCACTCTTTTTCAGGTTCAACTGATTTGAAATAATGGATGAAGCCAGACTAAGCTTTGAACAAAGAAAATTTATACAGTAGATTTTTTTATCCTGGCAACAGTTGACGAATTGAGGGCACACGAATACCAAACGAAATGATTCTTGATGTTTTCGATTTCATTGCTTCACATTATCAGCAGGGCCTGGACCAGGACGCTCATCAGTTTGAAAATGGGCATTGACCAAGAAATAGTTATTCATTTCTGTTGATTCTTATAAATTTTGAAAATGAACTGTATGTTAATAAACACTGACTTTATAATCATTCTAAGTGTGTATACATTTTGGGGGGACACCCTATGTACATATGTTTAACACAATTAGATTCAATATATATACTCTTCTGCACGTTGCCTCTTTTACTTAATATGTGGCAGGCATCTTTTCATATTAGTTCATGCAGCTCGGCCTCCTGGATACGAATTAGAGGTTTTGTTGTGTGTTGTTGTTCTCTCCTGCCTCTGAATTATGTCTGTTTTCTCCTTGTTCATCTTGGTCTTTCTGTTTTGTGCTGAAGGCTTCCTTGATAATTCTTGCCTATTCACATTTTTTAAGTGAGGGAGTTGATATTTGATTAGGAGCCCTCTGTGTGTGGGCAGGACTTGTCAACTGGCAGACTTTGCTTTATGGTGAGCAGGTGGGAACCTGGCCATGGTTCTGGGGATTCTAAAATGCCAGCATGTGGAGGATCTAAATTTGGGGAATCACACATTCTCACTACCCTAATTCTCCCCAGAGAGTTTATTTAATTTTTTTAACGAGAAAAGTACTATGTAATGTCATGTTTTAGATAGATATGTGATAGGCAATTATGTTAGCATAGACAGCTGGATATAAATCAAGGGGGCAAAGGAAATCAGACATGATGTATAGTCAACTCGGGAGCATAAGCCTGCTTCACCAGGAAGCTACAGCTTCACGCCCCAGGGGATCACAGCATTGCCCTGCAAGGGGGATTAACACTCCCTCTCCCCCCACCCCACCCCATCCCATATATAGGGAGGAAGGGCCGCTTTTCAATCTCCACATTCTACTTACCCAGTCTATGGGAAGGGTAAGCACATGTGCTATAGGAGCCAAGATTGCAACCATAGAGGCCTGTCTGTCTAGCCTGGGAAAGAATCAGATGGGATAAGGTTGCACAGGACCCCAGAGTATCTGGGAAATTGGTTGGTTAGGGGAGGACCCATCAGAAGCCTATGAAAGCTTGGAAAGTGGGTTAGTTTGAAGAAGTGCCTGGTCTCTCCCAAGCCCAAGTTAATATAACCTGAGCCTAACAAAGTTTTTTCTCTTGTGGGGTAACATGCACCTGCCCCGTTTGCTTGCACCTTTTTTCTCCATAGCAAACATGTGGCCCTAGCAACCGCTGGCAGGCAGCCGTGCGGGCTTCAAGCAGGCTCCAAGCCAAACCTGGGTACTGGGTACAGCCGCGCCAGCTGGCCGGAGCACAGCCAGGAACTGGACTAAGCTTCGATATGGCATAGAATCTCTGGACAATGGTTTTTGTATTGGGCTTGATGAATACAAGACTGGACTCTTTATGGTGGGATGGTCAGAGATGGAATATTAAAAATCTAGGGACAACCTATTTTCTCCCAAATAAATCCTACCACCAGACCTCATCCTCCCTTGTGGGTGTCAATGCTTTTCTTGAGATACCATAAGGACCCCACTTTTACCGGCAACATCTAGACAGGCAGGAGCAGAGCAAGAACAGGTACAGAAGGTCACCAGGACAGAAAGCCCCAAGTACCTAGCAACAGGCAAAACTGGCCTGGATCCTCGCCCCCAAGGTGACCTTTCCTCCCTTGGCATATCTCAGGTCATACAATTAGACCCTCTGACCTGTCATAGCGCTCGCTGATCATGTGGTTCAGATCCTCCCTGACCTTTCTTCCCCTGGCCTGTTGCTAGTCATGCACATTAGACCCCATAGAGGGGGAATGAACAAGGGGACCTTGAGCATTAAGTCCCAGGACAGTGAGTTTCTGGCCTGCATCAAATACATCTAGGACTCAGTTTTGTTTAATTCAGCTCCAGGTCCAGAAAAGCAGCAAAACAGATAAGCAACACCAGGGCTGACATCAAGACCAGCTGCATTGACTAATACCCCCCACCTACACCCCCACTCTTGTGACAACCAATCCATAGAGACTAGGACCTTGAAAGGACACAACTGGAAAGCTGATGAATATTCCATTGAGCTCCTCCCCTGAGGCCTCCAGATAAATACCCTCGAGACAGAGGACCCAGTGGGGTCTCCCTACTCCCTTTCCCAGGAGCATTTTCTTTGCCTCTGTGTTTCTCTTAAGTCCTAAGGGTCCTTCCTTTGCCTCTAACTTGTCTCCTAAGCCCATTTCTTCTGTGGCTCACTTCTCCTACCTTTGTGACTTCCTAAATAAACTTTGGCTTTTATTTGAGTCTTGGATTTGAGTTCTTAGCCAGAACTCAAGTACCAAGGTTGCTGAACCAAGGTCCAATTGCCAGTAACATTCTAGTGCTGTGCTGCTGCCAACAGATAGATAGATAGATAGATAGATAGATAGATAGATAGATAGATAGATGATAGACAGACAGACAGACAGACAGGCTCATACTCCCCGGGAAAGTAAATACTTTTTCCATATTCCAACCAATGAGAAGTGAAGAGAGAATTTAAATTAAGGTCTATTTAACTTCAAAAGCCAAATCCTCTTTAACAACGATGATAAACTGTCCGGGATGATCCTGTAAACTGGGTACGCAAATGTGCGGATGAAAAGGGGGCCACATACTAAACCTGACAAGCCCAGCGGGGCCTGCTTGGTGGGCTTCACAAACTCAGAGACCCAAAGTAACCACAGGATGGTCTGAAATCAAAACTTTCCAGCTAAAGGGAGGCATGGCAGGTAGTCACGCCCTAGGCCAGTCTGCTCCTTGACAAAGGTCAATCTTTACCTTAACTGAGCTGGTCTATTGTCTTTTTGCATCTATACAACACGCCTTCAGAATATCAGGGCACCATCTCCCACCTCTGCAGGAGACCACAGAGCCTCTCACTGTTACTGTTATCGTGTTAGTTGTTAACCCTTAACCTATAGGAATCAATGTAAAAGAAGTATGTGTCTATTTGTTCTACTTTTTATCCAATCCCAGAGATTCCCCCTCTTTGCTTTGTCCCCCCTCCCTGATCTGTCACCAGTGAATTTCCTGTAACACTCCTCTTGCCTCCTGCTTTGACTCTGGTGTATAAAATAAGTGGTAAAACCGGCGGCTCTCTATAGAGCACGCCCACGCCTCTCCCCACCCCCTCTTTCCCCAGGGGGTGTCCTCTCTCTTCCCCCCACTAAGCTCCAAGGGCTCTTCTTTTGCTGTAACTTGTTTCCTGAGCCCATTTCTTCTATGGCTCACTTCTACCTCTGTGACTTTCTAAATGAACTTTTTTCTTATAGTTTAAGGCTTGTCTCTGAATTTTTCTCTTAGCCAGAACTCGAGAACTGAGGCTGCTGAACAGAAGTTAACAGCTGGTGCCATTGTTTCCACTGCTAGCAGATGGTGCCATGACTCCCACTGCCTTCTCGCCATTCTCGATGGGGATCCACTCATAGTGCCCAGAGATACCCATAGGGGGTACATACTAGTATTTGCCAACTGGGAGAAATTTGACAGTGAGTCCCTCAAAAAAAGGAGGCTAGTCTTCTTTTGCAACATGACCTGGCCCCTGTATAAAGTGGGCAATAGAGAGATTTGGCTAGTCAATGGTGCTATTAATTTATTTTCATTTTTTATAAGGTTGCCAACTCTTTAAGATTTTTTTTTTTATTATTATTGAAAGAGGGGAAGGGAGAGGGAGAGATAGAAATACCAGCTGCCTTCTGCAAGCCCCCTACTGGGGATCAAGCCCACAACTGGGCATGTGCCCTTGGCCGGAATCAAACCCGGGACCCTTCAGTCTGCAAGTCGACACTCTATCCACTGAGCCAAACCGGCTAGGGCTGCGCCATTAATTGTAATACTATCTTGCAGCTAGGCCTATTTTGCTATTCCCAAGGGAAATGGGTGGACATCCTGCACATTCAGCCTTTCTGGCTCTCAGGGATAAAGCTATGCATTACCTGTAAAGTAGATCCCTCCACAATTGCTAAATTGTACTCACAGCCCCTGCCTCCTTTACCTCCCCCTGGGTAATTTCTCAGAAAATAAGAAAATAAACAAGTAAATAAAATAAGTGCTAAAACTGCCATTTTCCAGAGCTTTTTGTCAATTTGTTGAGATTTTGCTTCCTGACAATTGTCAGTTTGACTCAAATAAACTAATAAAAATTCTTACAGGTTTGGATGTTTCTTGCGTCAACAGGTAGCTAGATTTGGTATAATTTGGCTTACCCGAACCCTAGCCTCATTCCCCACAGAAGGGTCTTTGTTAGTGGCCTTGCTAGTATATAGAAATTGTAGAGCCTTAGTGTTGAGAAAATCACTTTGCTTTTAGCCTCCACTCAGGCTTATTCCTCATCCTCAAAAGAAACAACCATCTGAGAGAGGCAAATCAAAACAACGATGAGGTCCCATCTCACACCTGTCAGAATGGCTATCATCAGAGCCAAGCCTTAAACTATAAGAAAAAACCACAAGTGCTGGCGAGGATGTGGAGAAAAAGGAACCCTCGTGCACTGCTGGTGGGAATGCAGACTGGTGCAGCCACTGTGGAAAACAGTATGGAGTTTCCTCAAAAAACTAAAAATGGAACTCCCATTTGACCTAGTGATTGCACTTCTAGGAATATATCCCAAGAAACCGGAAACACCAATCAGAAAGGATATATGCACCCATATGTTCATAGCAGCACAATTTACCATAGCTAAGATTTGGAAACAGCCTAAGTGCCCATCAGCAGATGAGTAGATTAAAAAACTGTGGTGTGTCCTGACCAGTTTGGCTCAGTGGCTAGAGCGTCGGCCTGTGGACTGAAGAGTCCCAGGTTCGATGCCCGTCAAGGGCATGTACCTTGGTTGCGGGCACATCCCCAGTAGTGGGTGTGCAGGAGGCAGCTGATCAATGTTTCTCTCTCGTGGATGTTTCTAATTCTCTATCCCTCTCCCTTCCTCTCTGTAAAAAAATCAATAAAATATATATTTTTTAAAAAGACAGTGGTGCATCTATACAATAAAATACTATGCTGCGGTAAAAAAAGAACTCTTACCATTTGCAACAGCATGGATGGACCTGGAGAGCATTATGCTATGTGAAATAAGCCAGTTAGAGAGAGATAAATATCACATGATCT